TGGAGCGTGACTGAAACAGACTGAGCTTTGACCTTGTATTGCATGAGCCAACAGGAATAATAGAAAATACCAGAGAAAAAAAAACAGGAGTAAGGAAAAACAGCAAAAAATGATGAATCTTCATTTAAACCTGAAAAACATGATAACCCTCTGCCCTGTTCTTGTGGACAGCTGATGTCACTTCCTTCACATGTGACAGGTCAGCGAACGTACTTGGCCTCCATATCAGCTTTCTCTCTCACAGTCTGCGCTGTTTGTTCCGCCTCCTGGTAGGTCTTCCTGCTCTTCTCTAGGTCTCTGATCGTGACCTGCAGATCGGCCTGAGCTCTTGCCAGCTGTTCGCAGCACTGAGAGAGGACAGATGAATAAATGGCCGCTGTGCCACTTTAGTGCAGAGTATCTCTTGATGTGTTTACCTTCTTCAGCTGCAGGTCCTTCTGCGCTCTGAACGTCTTCACAGGATCTGAGATCTGGCTCCTGTAGTTCTCACATCCGTTAATACGAGACTGGCTCACTTTCATCACACCCTCCAAGTAGGATCTCCATACGGCCCAAACATTTCTGCTTGATGATGAACACAAATAGACACTGCGATTGAAAATCCATCATATTTGCTCTTTTCTTTGCTCTTCTCATCTCTCCTATTACCTGGAGTCTCTCTGCTCCTCTGATGGGGCTCCAGACCACTCTCGCTTCAAGTACTGCGATGCAAGCTTATGTAGAGCCTATAAAGTCAAGCCAGATTTATTTATATAGCACTTCATACAATACAGATGGTCTTCTGGTCAAACTACCAGTCCATAATCCATAATAACACATCTTCCAGTGAAAAAGTTCCCCTGTTGTTCTCTCACATCAAAATCCACCAACATATTTGTTTAGGACTGTTTTTACTTGTAAATGGTGCATGATCTGTGCATATTTCTCTCCAGATTCAGACGAGACAACTTTTGCACTGGAGAAAGCAATATTATGGATAGAGGACTCGTATTTTAGTTGTCCTCTTTCCATAATATTGGATAGAGGACATTTTTACTTCACAAGACGTTAATTGATGGACTGGAATCATGTGGGTTACTTGTGGATTATTGTGATTATTGTGTTTATATCAGCTGTTTGGACTCTCATTCTGACGGCATCCATTCACTGCAGGGGATCCTTTGGTGAGCAAGTGATGCAATGCTGAATTTCTCCAAATCTGTTCGGATGAAGAAAAAAACTCACCTACATCTTGGATGGCCTGAGGATGAGTAAATTTTCCTATTCCTTCAATATACTGTTAATAAACATTTCTGAAAGTTTAGATTCAGAGCTTCTGAGTAGCCTTTTAAAAACTCCACTTCAATTGTCACCACAAAATAAAACAGATTCCTCAGAGGAGAAATTTCTCCTTTTATCCCATCACACCAGATCAGTGCAAATGTGGAAAACATGGAGGACAACTTTCAGTCTGTAAAAGCAAAACCCACATGGGTGTTTCTGCCTGTCTGCTTGACACTTAAATGTCAGACCGTGCCAATGTGTAGATTTACAAGTGAGTAAGCAACTGGCTGCTTTTGAAACAGAAGAAAGGGGAAAATAACACTCACTTTCCATCCTCAAGTCAAGTAAATGTCACTGTATTGGACTGATTTCCAAAAGTCACAAACAATTTGGTAAAATATCAGAGCAAAAAAACCTAAAACAAAAACGGAAAAATAACCAAGCTAGAACAAAGTTCCTTTCATTACTTCACCATTACTCTCTTAAAAATAAAGGTTATTTATTGGCATTGATAGTTCCATGATGAACCTTTAACATCCATGGAACCTTTCCATTCCACAAAAGGTACCTATAATGTAAAATTATACTTTATAGTTTTAAAATGTTTTTTCAAATAATTTTAAATTGTTCTTTTAAGAACTGTTCACTGGAAGGTTCTTTGGGGAACCAAAAATGGTTCTTCTATGGGACTGCTGTGAAAACCCCCTTTGGGAACCTTTCTTTTTAAGAGTGTACTGACGATAATTCCAACAAAGCATAGTTCAATCATGACAACTCTCGGAACATTTTAGCATGGTGATGGATATGACAATGTTAATGTATTTGGTCTTGGCGGAACAGATCTGCTACGCTGCTGCTGAATTGCTGCTGCTGTTGGCTATTGCTGTAGTTGTAGATTATTGCTGCTGCTGCAAGCAAGTACAGGAACTTGCTACTGCCAATGCATATGGCGATACGGTGCCATGAGTATTTAAGACATGCTGCTGCTGCACAAATAGCATATAAAATAACCCCGTAGCAGATCTATACAGGTGGAGGATTTCAGAGAACTCTGAACGCGCACTGCAGGAATCTCAAGTGAATGCTAGCCAGCCATATAAATACAAGGCAGTAAGCTCATTGGCTGCATATGCAGCATGAACCAGTCAGCTTGTGCCAAGTCGTTTAACTCTCTGAATATCATCAGTTACGTTAACACCCCGTCAGAATGCGCCATCTAGAGTTTCATGACTGAACTATATATTTAAAAACTTCAACAAAACTGAAATGACTGAACCGTAACAAGTTCCACAAAGGACAGAGAGTGAGCAGCATCCGCTCAAAACAGAGAGGATTTGCTTTCTGGCCCTCAGACTACAATCTGGCACTACCAACCCAGTCCTATGAGCTGCCAGCTCTGATGATTCGACTCAGGAAGAAGACCCTGAAGAAGAGAGAGATTCCTGTCTTCATGAGCCAATCAGCATCCACCAGCCCTGCAGGTGCACAAGCTTCAGATCCAACAGAAAAGAAACTCTCACTCACACACACATACTGAGCGTCATTCAGACAACTGGGCTCTCCATTCACCAAGTGATCACACAGATCTCATAGTATCTTGATGAGGACAGTCGGCATGTCAGGCTGTACATCTATAAAATTTGGGTGTTAGACTGTTTATGCAATATACACTACAATTAATTATCTTATACTGACCTAGGCTGCATTTATTTGATCAAAATACAGTAATATTGTGAAAAATTATTACAATTTAAATAACTGTTTCATATTTTAATATATTTTAAAATGTAATGTATACCTCTGATGGCAAAGCTGAATTTTCAGCAGCCATTACTCCAGCCTTCAGTGTCACATGATCCTTCAAAATTTTAATTGAATTTTTTAATGTTTCTTGATTTGCTGCTCAAAAGACATTTCTTATTATTATCAATGTAGAAAATAGTTGTGCTGCTTAATATTTTTTTGTGGATATTGTGATGATTTTCCCCCCAGGATTATTTGAATTGAAAGTTCAAAAGAACAGCATTTATTTGAAATAGAAATTGGTTGTAACATTATAAATGTCTTTATTGTCGCTTTAGATCAGCTACATTGCTGAATGGAAGTATGAAAATCTGACTGACCCCAAAGTAATTTATCCAAAATTTTTCTCAGTTTTGTAGATTTAAGGGAAAAATAGGTGAAAATGTAGATCCTAGTGATCCAAATATATGAAATCATATTTATAAAGTGACATAGCATTGATGTCATGTGGATCTTCTTAGCAACGCATTTGAAAGAGACAAAAGCAGATTGAACGCAACTGGCAAAAATTCATGAAACCAATCGCCTGCAGGTCATTAAAAACCACAGTTTTTTCCACTGAGTCACCAAATCTACCTCTACAAAAACAAACTAATTCACACATAAATTGTCAGTGATCAGTGGAAGATGCATAACATCTGTTCATCATTATTAATACATTTAATAAAAAATATTTGTTTAAAGGGGTCATATGAAGCGATTTCAAGTTTTCCTTTCTCTTTGGTCTGTTGTCCTTTCGGGCTTGAACTGATGGTAAAACTAATGACATTATTTACTGTCTTTACATTTATTTTGAAAGATGAAGCTCGCGTTTATGGTAAGGGGCGTTACATTTCCGACGCGTGCTTGTTGTGTTCGGCCAATCACAATGCACTGGTTCAGCTGGCCAATCAGAGCAGACTGTGCTTGTCAAAGGAGGGGGCTTTGTTGAAAACGACGTGTTTGAGAGAGGCGGGGCATAGAGGACCTACAATAATGTACAGTATTTGAAAAATAATGTGTTTTTTGAACATTAAAGCATGTCAACATATTCTGTTACACCAAATACACAAAATAATGATCTTTAAAATAGCATCATATGACCCCTTTAATCTCAGAACAAAAATCACCCTACATCATCAAAAATAAACATACTTTAAATTATGAACTCATGTAATTCAATATGGTGGCCACAACTCACCTGTGAGCAATCTTTCTCTATTAGTGCTTTCTTCTGGCTGTAAATCCTGAGGATTAAACACACACACACACACACACACACACAAAGTCAAGCAGTTCAGCACTAATATACCAACAGACAGACAGAAAATAGCTCTATAGGAGTTTAAAAAGCAGTGTAAAATCAAACTCGACCTCAGATCCTCCAGGAAGTCCAAGTCTGTCTGGTGTTTAAACTGGAGTCTGTTCAGCTGCTCTGTGTGAGTGTGTTTCACTTCTTGTGTGACTTTTACCTGCAACACACACAATGACAACCTCAGGAGAACCAACTTTGACCCAGATCACACCAACCTGAAAGAGGAACCTGTGTCTGGCATACTCGAGTCAATGGAGACAGTAGGACAGATGCTGGAACTCAGCATAAGCATAAACATTATGTATTATGTATAATACGTTGTGTGTGTGTGTGTGTGTGTGTGTGTGTGTGTGTGAACATATTTATACACACATTATATATTATACATTTTACTAGTTTTTTTTTTACAAGTTGCAATTATCCAAATTAATATATAATTAACTGAAAATAAAACGATTATAAGGCTGGTTAGACATATATCTATCTATCTATCTATCAGTTTGTTTGTTTGTTTGTTCAGTCAAACAAACAAGGAGACAAGAAAGCAAGCAAACAAACAGACTGACATGACAACAAAACATCGTAAAAAGTGAGAACAAATAAAGAAGCAGGTCGACTCACCTTTCTTGGAGGAGGCTGCATGTCTGGATCTGGATATACAGGACAAGCCTCTAGAAATTCACCCCGCAATACCCAAACACATCTGCGGGACGGAGAAATGCAGAGCGGAATAATCTGTTTAGGTGGAAGAAAGAAAAATAGATCACAGAAATACTTCCAGACCCCGCCGTTGCGCTGCTCACGTAAAGCGAACTCTAATGAGAAGAACTTCAGTCAGTGGAACAGAATTGAGAACAGCGCCCTCCGGTGACCAAATAATAATATACGCGTTGAACGTTTTGTGCTGTTGTGTGTTTATGAATGCGTGTTGATATATGTGATATGTTTCCGTTAGAATATGAAGCTAAATGTGTACAGAATAGCGTGCAGTATTTAACTATGAGAGATTAGACAAAGATGAAGGAGAAAAATCTCATTCATAACTCTTCAGTTTCAGACTCTTACTCTGCCGCTCTCATTCTACATATAACTGCAGTGATGATGATAAACATTTTATCAACTGTCACTTGGTTAAATTTATTATACCTTCGTCATCATAAAATAATCACAAAAAGGCCCTTCGTCACATGTTGTTGGTGAGATGAGGCCATCTAGCGGTGGGCGTATGTAAAAATAAAGTGGGACACTTACCCAATCAAATTTAAATTCAATATCATAAATAATAATAATTTCATTTTTTTTTAAATAATAATAATAATAATAATTAGCAGTAGTAGTAGTAGTATTGCTATTTCCAGAGCCTGGAAACTCACACTCATGGAGGCGAAAAGAAATCCTGTGAGTGTTACCTTTTACATGCAGGATGGTTTTCTGTTTATTGTAATTTAATATTTTACTCAATTGACGTTTTTTTTTCACTCTCATAGGTTTTCACATACAATCCCTATGACGATACATACCAAACCGTTCCAATTGACAGTCATAATGCAGTTTACATCATGCCAAGTACAGGTAGTGGAGGTAATTATATAAACACATCATTCATTCTACAGAAAGCACAGAGAAAGGGTTATTGCCACTTTGTGTTTTTTATACATTGATATAATACATTGTTTTAATTATTATTACAACCATTTTATGATTATTTCATTCATTTCCTTATGGCGCACTTTACTGCTACATTATAGCTCAAACAATCTAAGTGAGAAAAATAGGAAAATTAAAGGAATAGTTCACCTAAAAATTTAAATTTCCTGTAAATGTTCTCACACTCAGGACATCCAAGATGTACAGTAGATGAGATTGTTTCTTCATCCGAACAGATTTGGAGAAATTTAGCATTACATCACTTGCTCACCAATGGATCCTCTGAAGTGAATGGGGGCCGTCAGAATGAGAGTCCAAACAGCTGATAAAAACATCACAATAATCAACAAGTAATCCACATGACTCCAGCTGAATCTTTTATTTATATATATATATATATATATACTTTTTTTTTAAGATGTAACAGTTTATTACCACTTTGAACTTAAATTTTAACTCCTTGATTTTCAGTGGTCTTATTCCCACTGTAGAAACGTTTTCATAAACAAAGAAACATTTAACCAGGGATGAACCTCTAATCCAGATGTGCTTCCCTGCAGGGACTCAGCATGTCTGGGTACACAGAGACTCTTATGACAATTTTGGAGAGCAGATTGCGTTGGGCCTCCTGGCTGGAATGGCTGCAGGTGCAGCAATGCGTTCTCTTCTATGGATGCCCTTCTGGTTCTGCTGAGAACCAGTCAGATAGAAGGGTGATTAATGGAAATCCAGCAGACTGAGAGAACAGACTGGAAGAGCCGTCCATAAAGCTCAGCCATAGCAAATGCTCCTGTTCCTTCATATAAATATGTAAATATGAGAATAGCTGCAGCTGTTTTAAACTCAGTGGGCATTAAGTGGTTAATCAGTGTGTAAAGGAAGGATTCTTCTTTTTTGATTGTTTAGTTCTTTAGAATATCTATAAAACTATATAATAATTCTGCACACAGCTAATGATTGTTTTTTCTTGCTGCTATGATTCTGCTTTGTGTATGTCGTACATGTAGAGCTCTGCAAACTTGCTCAGGGTTTTGTCCATTATTATGTTATTTTTCTCAGACACAAGTTCTCCTATCAGTATTTATAAAAAGTTCCAAGATTTTTCTAACTCTAAAACACTAAAGCCCGAATTCATTATGTTCCATAGCATGAGGTTTGGGAGTGATCATCAGACCGTTGAATGCTCTTCAAATGAGAATCTTGCAAAACTCTTCTTACAAAAGAATATGATGCTGAAGTAGCCAACAAAAGCTGAATATGTTGATCAAGCCTTTGAAATACCTCAAAAATGAAGGCATGATTATGAAATCAGTTCTCATAACTGACCACTAGAGGCAGGCAGAGCAGCATTTGCATTTGGCCTGTTTACACACTACTATGCTACCTTGCGAGTATAAGTTATAAACTTAATATTGTTGTGCAAAATAAAATGCAGAATAATAAAAACAGAATCATATTAGTTGGCTTTTCATTTTTTGTGCGTTTACAATTAAAACTTCTGCACATTTAACAATGTCCTGATTAACAAAGAAAGTTATACATAATCCAGCAAGGAAAAAAAAAAACCCACTGTTGCTAAATACAAGATTTTATTAGGGACGCCTCAAGATGCTGATCAATTTTTGCAGTGCAAATAATGAGCATTGGTGTCAAGCAGTGCTACCAGAGGAAACTGGTTAAAATCTATTTGAAATGAATGAGACCGTTTCAAGAAAACAACCAAACAAAATGCACTATATCATAAAAAATGTTTTTTAGATCAGTCTGGGGACAAACTTATCACTGTACAGTTAAAAAAAACAAACGTGGAAGGTGCTTAGGGCCAGAATGTCTAAACGTCTCCATGTCTGCAAATTATGACAAACAAAACAGTTTAAAAACAAAAACAAAGAGATTACAAATAAATATTAGGGTTCATGCTTGATTCAACAAATCAAACCATATCTAGTGTGTCATTATTACAATAAATCAAACTTTACAATGCTAAAAAAAAAAAATAAAAAAAAATAAAAAGTGGAAGTCCGATAAAACAAACCATCAAAGGTAATGTCTGCATATTATCTGTTAAACTGGATCTGATACTTCCCTTAATATACATAATATTTCTTTGCAATAACTGTATTTCTCTTTGACTAAGCTATTGGCTTTCTAATGCTCAAAATAAGAATAAAAATTAAATAAAATGGCATCTAAGGAGAGAAAACAAAACAAAACCGCAATGCTTGAGAGTTGACTGAGCTAAAAGCAGCACTTGTTCCTCCAAAATTCCAAAAACATTTGTTTTTACACTTTTCTTTCTTCCTTATGAAGAAGTCATTAGAAACGTCACAGATGTAACGCCCCGTAGCCACATATGATGAAATCTACACTTGGATATTTCCAAAAACACTCACAAACATTTCTTCCATCTCTGCACCGTGAATCTGGAATAATGTTTAACAAGTCCACGCCTATTCAAATCTGGATATCCTTCTCAAATTAGTTCTTTAATTTCATTTTTTTAATCTTGTTTTGTTCCTATTCACGTCATTGTTACAGTAATATAAGTATTATTTCACATAGAACGAAACATGAACAAAAACAACACTTTATAAAGTGTTTTAAAAGAGTGAAAAACCAAAACACCACAAAAGGTGTACAATTAACGGAAACAATTAATAGAAAAGCAACAGCATACCCATCCACATTGTGCTTTCGAATTTAAAGGGGTCATATGATGCTTTTTTAAAGATCATTATTTTGTGTATTTGGTGTAACAGAATATGTTGACATGCTTTAATGTTCAAAAAACACATTCTTTTTCAAATACTGTACATTATTGTAGGTCCTCTATGCCCCGCCTCTCTCAAACGCTTCGTTTTCTACAAAGTCCCTCCTTCAGACAAGTGCAGTCTGCTCTGATTGGCCAGCTGACCCAGTGCATTGTGATTGGCCGAACACCACAAGCACTCGTCGGAAATGTAACGCCAC